ACTTCACAAAGTTTGAAATCCATTGTGAATTTTTCAGATTAGTATTGTTATTAATTCATAGCAAACTTAACCCAACAAAGTTCAGTCAGATCATCTGGATGTTTTTTTGATACGTTTCGTCCTTCATCCAAAGGACTTCATCAGTCCGAGGAGCCACCACAAACTTAGTCCCACAAATAGCACAGCCACATAGTGGGCCAGTCAGTTTGCTGATGATGAGATGGTTTCTGAGGCCCGCCCTCTCCCCCGTCTACTCCTCTCAGGCAGCCATAGCCCAAAGTGGTTCAAAACATCAAAGTTCATGCTCAATAATCCAGGTAAAAAATCCCAAAAAGTTAGGTCACGTCAACTGGGTGTTTTTGTTTTTTTTGTTGAACCACTTTGTGTATGACTGCCTCAGAGGAGTAGATGGGGAGAGGGCGGGCCCCAGAAGTCATCTTATCACCATCAAACTGGTTGGGCCACTATGGGAGTGTGCTGCTTGTGAGACTGTTTGTTGTTGCTCCTCAGACTGATGAAGTCCTTTGGATGAAGGACAAAACGTCTCAACAAAAAACAAACTGTCCAAATGACCTGACTGAACTTTGTTGTATTACTGAGCACGAATTTTGACAACAGACGTGAATTTTTATTATTATTATCGTTTTTATTTGTTAGAACCAAACTGGATTTGTTTCCTCCTCTCTCCTTTGAACGTTTCACCTCTCTCATTGTTGCAGCTTTCTGTAAGAGCTACGATTCTGTTCTGATTCTGTTTTTGCAGTTTGCCTCACACGTTGGACAACTGAGCGCTAGAACTCACCTCTGCTCAGCGACTGAAAACATAAAGAGCCATAATTTGTGTCTGTCGGTTGGAAACTGTGCTCTGGGATTTGTAGTTCAGTCCCATGGATTTGCCATCTGTGCACACACATCGGATATATGTGTCTTCTGTTTTATGATCCATAGCCACGCACGGTGTGTAAAGACTTTCACGTGACTCATCCCCTCAGAGAACAGAGATGTGCGCTGGTGTGTTCACAGAACTTTAGAGCTTCGCCAAAGAAATGATGGTTTTCCGTCCACAAGTGAGGCTTTTCAGATCCGGAGTCAAAATATGAAACGAGCACAAGCTAAACGTTTATTGTTTTAATTTTGTCAGATATGACTGGAGATGCTTGTGTCTCCTGCAGAAGGCGTTTTAAGCAGAACCAAACACAGATCCTGACAAACTGAGCGTTGCTGAGCTTCTGTCAAACACTTGGTGATAAAAGGAACAAAAAACAAACTGTCACACTGAACAATGTCGTCAGAACCAAGTCCAAGTTTAGTCTGAAAACAAACACAGTGATGATAATACCAACAAATACACGCCTACAATAGCAGACTCACATTGTGCATTATTTTGGCTCACTATATAAATCACAAAAAATTCAATCGTGTCATCTGGACAGTTTCTTTTTTGGAAGAAATGTTGTCATTCATCCGAAAGACTTCATCAGTCTGAGGCCTGCCAACCAGATGTGTCGTGTTAAATAGCGCCTTATTGACGTATTTCAAACCAGTCTGATGTTGAGTTCCCTGGCAGCGTGGCTTTACACTTGCAAAATGGAGGACCATCAGTCTAAAATAATCTATCATCAGTGCATAACAATTAGAGCTGGGATTTATAGCCCGAGCCCCCAGCCCAGCCTGACCCGACCTGAAATTTGGGCCGGGTCGGGCCAATATTATGTGCTTGATGGGTAGGCCAGGTCGGTCTCTGGCTTTTGATATGGTTTTGTGATTCATAAAGCACAAAGAAAACTAAATAAGAATGCACACAAAAAAAGTTTTAAAATAAAATTGTGTTAATCTCCTTGTTGAGGAGGAGGCAGGAAGTTTATATGTTGAGGATGTGAAAGAAACAGTGCAGAAGTTAATCGGACTGTGAAAAGAGAGAGTAGCGCTGGCGCATTGCGCAACAATTGCGCATGTGGCCCCGCCCGCCCTTTGATCAAACATCTGAGCATTTGCAATTGACCCACAACAAGCGACATAATGGAGCTGTAAATTATTAAACAAAAGCATAAAACAGGATAACTCAGTTTACAAAGCCAGCACAGTGAAACCTGCTGATGTGTGTCAGGTCAGGTGCATGCTCAGGTACGACATGCCGGTTGAAAGAGGTTAAAAAAAAAGACTTAAGCTTCAGATGGACAACGGGATCATCAGCCCGCTCATCACTCCGCTGACCGGCCAGTAGAATATAAGTTAAAAAAAAGACAATCTTCATCTTTAGATTTGATTTTTTAGGCTATTTGTTTTGTATGTTAATATCCATTTGGGGCAGCACGGTGGCACAACTGGTAGAGCTGCTGCCTCTCAGTGAGCAGGTCCCCGGTTCAAATCCCGGTCCAGGGTCCTTTCTGGTTGGAGTTTGCATGTTCTCTCCGTGCATGTGTGGGTTTTCTCCGTGTACTCCGGTTTCCTCCCACAGATCAGGAACATGCATGTTAGGCTGATTGGTAACTCTAAATTGTCCCTAGGTGTGAGTGAGAGAGTGAATGGTTGTTTGTCTCTATGTGTCCCTGTGATGGACCTGTCCAGGGTGTCCCCTGCCTCTCGTACAGTGATTGCTGGACGTGGGCACCAGCGACCCCCATGACCCAAAATGGAAGAAGCAGGTAAAGATAATGGATGGATGGATGGATATCCATTTGGTGACTTAATTAAAATAAATCTTAGATCTTCTTTTCTTTGAAATATGTTTTTAAAACTATCATGTCAAACTGATTTGCATACAAAAACAGTAAAAGCTTAATTTAAAACAAAAAGTTGTCTTTTTTTGGGGGGGGGGGGGGGTCGGGCCTGTAATTACAATTAATTAGTCTGGTTGGGTCGGGCTTGGAAAAAATGCCTACGGGTTAGTGCCAGGCTGGCTCCGATTTTTTAAAGCCTGAATGCAACTCTAACAACAATCAAATTTTAGGCAAAATGGCCACTTACTACTCTCTGAACCAGCCCAAGGGCAACCTGGCCAAAATGGTTAAACAGAAAAAGAGTAAGTATGCTCAATCATCCAGGTAAATATATCACTATATGACGCATTTATGTGCGACAAACCTGTTCAAGCGTATGCATCAAAGTCCAATTTATGAAGCAGCACAGACGGGTTGGAGATGGTCACGTGACTCACTCAGCAACTTCTTCGGACATCAGCGCGCAGAAGTTTCTCCACACCAAAACAATCTGCGAAACAGTGGGTCAAAGAAAATACAGACTCGAGTTGGAAGCTTGCATCAGAACATCAGTGTCAGACAGCCAAGCTGTGGACCGGCTCCTGGTTTTTAAAAGTACTTCTTTTGTGTTCATGCGGAACTGTTGAGGTTGAAATTACAGCAGTCCCTCATTTATCATGGGGATCCGTATCCTGAAGACCACAGAATGTCATGATTTCGGCTCCCTGCCTCCTCTGCTCTTTGCCACCTGTAAGCACTCTTGGCCACGCCCACTTCTCCGCTCTGCATGGTGAACAGCTGATCAGCTGCAGCAGGAAGTTTATCCTGCAGTATGGGCTGCACAAAGGTGTAGAAATAATCTTTTTCTGCAGCTCTGGGCTGCCCAAATGCGCAGCAGGTGCTAAATAGTTTAAAATAATTTATTTAAAAAAAAAATTCCATGCCCATCGTGCGGCTCATCCATCAATCAGCCAATTGTGTGTCATGTCCAGTTTTATTTTGAAAAACCGCGATAGAGTGAGTCCACGATAAATGAACCATGAAGTAGCGAGGGACTAATGTACACCATTATTCAAAATTATTAGTAGTTAGCAGCCTCAGCTGATGCATATTTATTACAATTTTAAAATAGTTTTTAGTGCAACAGCATTAACGCTCAAAAGTTGTTTATTTGTATTTTTGTGCTGAAATTCTATCCTCACGTTTCGCTCGTTTGCAGCTTGTGTATTCTTCAACCAGTGACTGATTAATCAGACTGAGTTGAAGTTTCAGGTCAGTTCAAACGTGCAGCTTGTTGCAGGAGACGGAGTGAAAGGCGACTGTACCTCTGTTCCTCTGAAACCAAACCAATCAGTTGAAAGAGGCTAATAAGCATCGTGGTGCATTATAGGCTGAGCCACGTCAGCCATTGCTTTTATTAAAAGTATTGATCACTTGGGTTTACTTGTTAAAATGAGCGCGAGCAGGAATCAGTGTCCTTGAAATGTATTTATGCAGCAAATGGCTGCGAGTCAAACTCAAACCTTGCCGAGTATATACAGCTTTTCTTTTTTTCTGAGGTCTTCTGTGTAATGAAACGGAACATGATCGAGCCGAGGAGCTGCCTATAGAAAGCGTAATTAATGCAAACGTTTTCTATTTACTATGCATCATTTGATGGGTCTGTAAATGAATTAAAACCCCGACTGTGAATACAATGGCGGTTGTGTAAAATGTAAGTAAAAATGAAATGCAGTGATTTGCAAACCTTAAACTCTTTATGAAAATGGAGGATAGTAAACACACAAAATGTTTAAACTATAACTGACATGATCTGCTTGTAATGTGTCGAAACAAGTGCAGGAAGACTCGGGTAAAAATTTATAATTATTTATTTTAAGCAAAAACAAAAGTGCTGACGGGGCAACGAAACTTCCTTCAACCAGGAGGAGAGGGAACCAGAGCAGACACAGGTCATGACACCGTGAACGGATAGTGATACTTAATCCCTGGATACCAGGGGAGTGAAAACTCATGGATTAAATACCAGAGGCTAATGAGACAAAGTGGACACACCTTGAGTGATGGGATTTGAATCAGGTGTGCATAGGAGCAGAAACACAAGGAACAGAGAAACACTGGGAGGTGCAGAAATACACAGAACAGTGTCTCAATATTATACAATTAAGAAAATATGTTTGAATTTCATATATATA